CGCAGTTTGTGATTAATAACGTGTTGAATGTGAAGGGAAGTGACTCTTTTTTTGCCCCCCCCCTCCGTAGTTCTCACAATCCTGTTGCCTCTGAAAGTTGCGTCCAAAGGCTCCTCTTTTTGCTTTTCATACACAAACTTCTATATAAGCACTGAGAGAAGAACTTCACATTTTCAAAGCAGCTTTTTAAAAGCAAGCTAACCTTTCCTTTATGGCAGAGTTCTCTCATTCTGAAATCAAGCCTATATTGTGCTCCTTTCTCGAAGTCACCATCAATTTCAGATCTACACCGATTGGGTGAATCGATATCTTTCGAAAGCGCCGAACTACAAGCCCATCGACGACATCTCGAACGAACTGCGAGATTACCGCTTGGTGGCGAAGTTGATCCAAGTTGTCGGTGAGTCGGACGCTTCACAGTCTCATTGTTCTTGCTACTCATTGAATTCCATAAGAAAAGACCAACTCCTCTCTCCGCACCCTCCCACCCCTTCCCTCTATAAACCCAAGTGAGTTCTTTTTACAGGAGGGTGAGCAGCCGGCCTCGTGTCAGCGCAAGTGCAGAGTGATCCTTAAAAAGCACGCAGTTTCCTTCAGTTTGTTGTCCGGGCCCCAAAATACCTTAAAATATCACTTTTTTAGAGAACAATGTCCTGACATCCAAATGAATATTGAACGAGTGAGCTTTGATGTATATACAACAATTTTGTAGATGCAGCAGCGACACGTAGCCTCGCATACCACGCGCATGGTCAACTTCTTCCTCCACTCTCGCTTAGGCCAACCAGCATTCCGCCCCTTCAGAGCTTGTTAACTTATGCTAAGCTAGACAGCTTTTCTAGGTGGCTGAAGTCACTGGCTTGGACTTCATCTGGCCCCTGCAAGTCGATATAGAGACCTTCATCTTTACGATATACTAACTTCAAGTGACAGAACGATATGGAAGTTTGTCGAAGACCTTCTTTCACCGGAGAAATGGTACCTTGGTGGTGTGGAGCTAATCTGTCGAAAGCTCTCTTCACTGTTTCAGGAAAATAGGAATCTCGCGCGAAGGAGACCATGGTCTACTTTGTACGGAGTTACGGAGCATTAGCGGATTCGGTCAAGCTACAGCTCCGAATGCTGTGGAGCTAATCGACCTCATTGTGCATCGATGGGTTACACCAAATTTACCAAATTTGATGCCAGTAAAAGGGCCTCCACCTTATCCAATGTTGAAACTTCGGCAATGTGTGTCTTGTATTTTTTGTGAAGAGATCGTGAGATAGGACTTCTTCTCAAGTTCGGTCTTCTTCAAGGACCGAGGAATACATCGGTAGCGCGTAGCGTTTCCCATGTTGAAGTTACCAACTCCCTGAACAACTGCTAACAAGGTCATTCCATCAAGGTGTACAAAACCCACTCGCCGAGGCTGAGGTTCTTAGGACTTCGATTTACCACGGCTGCCTTTACCGACAGGTCGATACCGTACCGCTGGACGACACTACAGCCTTTTAGTTGCCCATTCAGCACCATTCCCTGAGCCTCGGAGTAACGTCTCTGGAAGGAATTGCTGGCAATTTTGTGTTGAAGCTACCTCCCGATGGTGTGAAGAGAACTGAAGGAATCTTTCGCGGAAAATTCTTTTCTTGCTTCTTTCTTGAAATGGATGTGTCACTTGTGATCACTGGGAACAGGACACAAAGTTTCACGCATGAAGATTCGGTTTCCGAAGAGAAACAGAGAACAAAAACTACACTCTATGGACAATCGAAGGAAATCAGGGCGGAGCCAAAGCGAACTATGGGAAGAAGTTGGCCTATGGCCAGCTATGTATCATCCGACGGAATGATATTTAGAATCGGGTTCAAGCGCGTGATTTCGGAGAGAAGAGACAAATCAATCGATAGAACAGGATGGAGTAGAAGTGTGAGATGTGAATGTAGTAAGTCAAAGTCCCCTGAAAAAGTTCCTAGTGAAGGCACTCCAAGAACCAAGTGGAAGCATTCACCGTCGCCAGCATTTGTGGAAGACGTCCGTGGGCACTTTGAACGCGTGCGTAGCAGCCTTTTCGATTTTCGAATTTTTAAACAAAACAAAAGCAATATTTCTGTTCTTTTCATTCTTATCGTGGGACAATGAGTCTCAAGCCATTGATTTTGGCTGAAATAGAATCATGATTTTTCCGTGAAGGGTTCCTTTAAGTGCTTCCTGCAGAACCTCTTCAGTTTCATAGAGTTCTTACTGCTGATGCGCGTCACATCTTATGGTGGTAAGCAGGCAACGAAAATCGTTAGAGTCGTAGTAGAGCCACATCTTTAATCACCAACGTCTGGTTTATGCAATCGTTTGAATCGATGTTCAGTAATTGCGCGCTGATGAGTACAGCTTCATAGTCACCGCCTCTGCTGCCGTATGGGCGGTTGAAAGATTCACCTAAATTTTGGCCATTCAAATTCACTGGAAGAAGAGCTTCAACTTCTTCTCGTGGTCTGTTCGATGACGTCGCTGGTAATCCTTACCGGAAGCTTGAGCGAGAGAAGCAGCTGACAGAATCGTTCATGTACTGGACCTCTTTTCCATCGGGAAGCCTGTGGCGTTTGTGATCCAAAGCAGAGCTGGCGTATAGGGCTTCTCTCATTTTCAGAAAGTCAAAATCCATATTTGCTCTTTTTTTCTTGCAGCATAAGCAATCACAGCTTGGTGGAACTAGCGTAGCAAGCCTTATGGCCTGCTTATGATCAATGCTTGATTGAAATTTGTGAACAGAAGCAGTGGTGAACCACTAACGTATTAAATCGGCGCAAAGTATTGTCGCAGGTGCAGGAGCAGGCCGATTCCAACTGATAGTGTCCTCGACACGCTATTCTCTCTTTGCACTTTCTATTCATCGTTAATGTTGTAAACTGTTTACTGACCACTGACTCATAGGCCTCCTGCAGCGGCGGCTGTTCCGTAGTCGCTTGCCGCGGTGCTAAATGTGGACGCAGGACAGCGCTGCGGGCAGTTGTCGCGCGAGCCTCCGCTAATTTATTGGAAGTTGTTCGGCTGTCGGTAACATTTCATAGTACACTTTGAACTTGCGCTTGTCCTCATCCATATGAAGGTCTCAACGCAAGGACAGTCTTAGAGTGGAGTAGTCACAACCTCCCGGACATGTTTTGTTTCACTTTCTTGACCACCCTTCTGACAATCCTCTGATCTGCTCAAAAACCATTGGGATAACTATAAAAGAGTACACTCAGGTGAATTCACCTAGAGAATTTTTGCACTGGTCCCATTATTACAGCGAAAAATTTCATAGTATCCGACAATATTATCAAGCTTCCCTACGCTTCATTGCAATTCTCTTAGTAAGGTATTCCTTTTTTTCCGAAAGCTCATGACCTTTCCAACCATTCTTTCATAGAGTTAGGTCGGAACATCGCCAGGTTCCCCGAGTTTGAGATATGCCGCTTGTTCCTTCCCACAACGCTTCTTTTTACCACTTTTACTTTTTTCGGCGCTATCGCAATATACGGGGGCATCCTCTAGGAGTAAGCCTAGAAGGGAGCAGGAGTTCCGAGGGGAATGAAATGGCTGGCACGCCCAGGAATCTCTCCTCCCCTGCGTAAGGTTTGTCCGTTTTAACAAAAAAAGACATGTTTGACACGATTTCAAATGCAATGTCACAATAATGCCCCCTATCTTGTTGTAGCACCCTTTTTTGAAGGTTCTTAATATATCCTACGCTTCATTAAAATCTCTTTGTAAGGTATTTCCTTTTTCCTAAAGTTCATGACCTTCCTAATCCACTTCTTCTTTCCTAGAACTCTCGTCTTCCCCCACCTTTCTTTTTTAAACTCTTTTCTGTTTTTGCTTTCGACTTTTTCTTGTGTCGCTCTCCATCACATCACCTCCGCACCCCATAAACAGCCGCCGCGATGATTAGGCAAACACGTACTGAAACTCAATCCGAACCGTCTGTTCGCTGCCATAACGGAAGCGTTGCACGAATGAGCACATACTAATTGCTGCTTGCTTTCTATACTCGGATTTTTCGTCGCAACTATTTGAACAGGGTATTTTTATCGATTTCGACGTGGATGCATTTTCTGAAGCGTTTTGGTGTTTCGTTCGTATAGTTGCAACATCGGAATACCGTAGTATTATAACGATGAATTACTGTATGTTCACGTTTGTCGTTGATTACGCAAACCAGTTCTCGGCTTACAGCCCCTAGAACAAGCTATTCATTAAAGAGGTAGTAGCCGGTTGCATTCGCAACTTGTTGTGGCCACAAGCTGAGGCTTACGGGGAGACCAATCTAGGCCTCTGGGGCCATTGCTTTTGCATCTCGGGAATCAGATTCTTACTGAGCAGCACAGGACACTCCTTTCTTTTGTTGCGTTGGGAAGTACGGATTTTTGGTCTCGTTTTTACTTTTGTACTTCCGATCTTACGTGCTTCCCAATGTTTATCTACAGTTGGGTACTCATGAATAAGGCCGACCTTACACTTTATTTATACCTGCATGACAGTAAGATTTCGAATGGTAGGGTAACCGGAGTAAAAGGCAATCGGCTTTCTTGGCCGTTCTTTTGACATTTTTTCAACCCACCTTGGCCTCCTTAGCCTCTAACTACGTATGAGTCTATAGGGACTTAACCACATTGGATGAGTGCAAAGCATATGGGCGAATCGATCGTTGTCTACAAATATGAATGTGCCGAATTCTGTGGAAGTTCACGGATTCCGACCGCGCAATGAGGCGAAGTGGACACATCGCTTCGGAGGCGTTTCGTTGTGGCGCTGATTTATGACGATTGTTCCACGCTGAAGTGTCGACGCCGAGAAACGCCCCACATGAACGCTTTTTCCGCGCGGAAAATATTTTGAACGGGCCGCCGGTGAAGAATTATACGCCCTTGTTTTGTGTTTTTACGATGCTGTTGTTTCTCGTCAAACGCGATGAAAATCGCTTCTGGCGCGGGGCGTTTCAACATTCCGGCCTTAGCTTTTCTTTCATCTCACTACTCTCATTGAAATTTTCACTGATCCAGTCCCGTTTTTGAGATCCTCCCTCCATTCGTAGATGAATTAGAGAGTAGTCGGCCTACTGAAGAGCTCATCAGCTAAACAGTTCTTTCCATCAGACGCGGGAGCGTCAAGCAAGCCCCTGTGCGCATATTCTTCTCATATACTCCATGAGCCCATGTATGTTCCCATGAGCGCTTTCTTTTTACCCATTTTGTGGAGTTACTTTTTTGTGAAGGTTTCCACTTTTCCCTACGCTCCATTCCTATTCACCTAGGTAGCTATTTCCATTTTCCTGAGTGCATGGCTTTCCCAATCATTGCTTTTTCCTGGCTTGCGCTGATCTTCTTGCTTACCAGATGTGCCAGTGATGCCTCCAAAATACTTGATTCTGTTGAGGGTAGGGTCATCGTATGAGTTTGCATATTTCACGATCACTTTTTATGATTTGTATATCTCTTTTCTGTTTTTGATTGATTGGTATTTAACATTCGTGACAATGGCAGCCACCGGTGGCTGACAAAGATTCTCACTTGTACAATGGTACCCACCGGTGGCTGCCGTGATTTCAAATGGAATTTGGAAAGTTTTCTTTCCTGAAAAGAATCTTCATACCCTCATTCATCTATGCCAGCCTTGGGCACGGGAATCTCCATCCACTCAAATTTTATTGAAGAAAAATCTGCCTAACTCTCCTGCTAATGCGCAAACCGGCGCTAATGTCGCATGGGTTATTCTCTGTTTCCTTCCAAAGGATGCATTTATTATGCCACTGAACAATACTAATAGTTATATATTTTGCCATGACTCCTTTGAAGGTTAGAACCCAATGAATTACAGTAATTTCCTAATCGAATATTATGCTATTTTAGAAAATTTTCGGGCTTCACTTTTATCGTGTCTGTCAAATAGTCTCCGAAACGTCGAAAACCATGAACAAATCCTTTTTTATTTTTCACTACAGAAATGAGTAATCTATTGAAGTAATAAGCTTTGATTGGACTAATTCGTCCAATAGTGGTTATCATTGAGGGCACGCAAAATTTTAGTGTCCTCCCTTCGTTAGCGAGGCATCAGTCGTGCTCAAGCATGAGTTGCGACGGTCAAATAACAGTTTAGGCGCTACAATAAGCTATTCTTGGCTAGAGCTGCGACGCTTTCCGTTTTCACCTACGCAAATAACAATTACGGCCTGCGCCTCCAAATTCTGTCTCTGTTGTCTCCTCACCGCTGTGCTGCTTTTTCCACCGTACCATGGTCAACCTCTCAGGGAGAAATTTTTTAGTTTCACTGTTTTCTACTTTTTTTCTGTTTTTTTTTATGACGATCCTCTTCGCACTTCTTTTTCTTTTTTGTTTGTTTCTCGAGGAGTGAAACCAGTCCCAACCGATTCCTTTTATGCCGATCCAGCTAACTCGGTCGCCCCTTACCAGGAAAACTTTCAGGACATGGAGCGCTTTTTTTCAAAGTTTGTTGCATGTTATAGGGGCACGTGCGTGGAGCATAAATCTGATGATCATTTTTCTGAGCGGCCCTGGGATTGCCAGAAAAAGGGCAGAAAATTTTCCTGAGAAGTGAAACTTTTCCATTTTTAATAAACTCTACAGCATTTGTAGAGTTGAATAGTTGCATTTTGAAGCTTTTTGTTCACTGAATAAGTTTAGACATATATGAGCCCAAGAAAGTGGAAATCAGAGAAATGCAAAAATTTGTCCTCAGTGGGATCGAACCACAAGCCATGGTTTCGACATGTTTTTTAGCATTCCCAGAGCCGCTCAGAAAAAATTATTCTCAATTTTATGCTCCCTGCTTGTCTCTATAACATGCAAAAATTCGTTTTGAAAAAGCGCTCCATGTTCCAAACGACTTCCCTGGTTAGCAGGAAGCTGTTGACGACAGAGTTCATGTCGTTGGCTCGAAAAAAGCATGGTACAAAGTGGTCCATAGAACAAACATTGAATTGAAGACAATCTGCTGGCCTTGGCCGGATTGCCGTATAATACCACTGCACAAGACGAGTTTGTGCATAGCCACGCTGATGGGCATGTAATGATTTATGAGACTGGTCTAGACGTGATTTTTGTCCTCGCTGTGGAGTTGTAGTTGTCCTTACAGGTGTATACTTTCATGACTGGATCCTCAGTGAGGATGAGAGTGATGGGTAGGTGGCCCGATGGCCCACAAGATGACCCACGCATCAACCCATAACCCTTGCCTAGAGAAGTTGCCG